CAACCCCTTCTTTTATTCAGGCTAAGCCAATAGTTTTAAAGAACATTTTTCTACAATATTCTCATCGGATAACTCTGTTTTCAAGGAGACACTGTCTCTATGAAGATGTTGGGAACCTCACAGATTTTATTGGATTACATAAATAAAAGGGTCCAAAGGGTGACGAGAAAAAAGATGAAAACAATGGCCATTAGTTCTTTCTCTTTTTATTTTCTGAGACAGGGTCTCGCTGTGTAGTTCAGGCTGGCCTCAGACTCATGGTGATCCTCCTGCCTCAGCCTCCTGAGTGCTGGGATTCCTAGAATGCAACACTGCACCTTGCCGTGGACTTCAGTCCCTCAAGAATGTGTGATTTGCCCGTCAGACGGCGGCGTTTGCAAACCGAGTCTCCCATGAGCTTTGGAGTTAGGGTTCAGCTGGCTTACATGCCAGGTTGGGTGTCCCAGAGTCTGACTTGGGCTCCCTGCCTGCTCCCCCAGAGGCCTGGGTGCCCCTCCCCCGCCAAGGCACGGGTGCGGGCTCTTCTGGTGCAGACTGCATCTTCCTGTGTCACCCCTGGGACCCGAGCGTCCTCAGTGCCCACCTCGCTCTCCCCAGTCGAGGGAGGGTCTTTTCTTGCCTTTTAAACTTTTTACTGGTACCTTTTAGATACACATAACGATCGCGTTCATCACGGGGAATTTGTACCGCACATGGTGCATCTTGCTGCTGCGTTTTTTTCCCATTCCCCGCTTCAACCCGAAGGAGGTCCTGCTAGCACCATTCTGGGTAAACGGAGGCTGGCTGCCCGAAGCTCACTGGGCGGGCAGAGGGAGCTGGGCAGACACGGGACTGACCCCGTCACCCCGCCACCTATGGCGCCGGCTGCCCTGCCACACACCCAGGTCCCCACGATGCCGATGCCGTGTGGGGCGGATTTTCCCTGTCCGCAGCTTCCGCCTCCTTTCGTGTTTCCTGAGCCACCCATTCCTCTCGGCAGATCCCAGCCCACCTCTCACTCTTTTTTGTTTTATCCAGTACGGGGGATTGAACCCCGGGCCTTCGCGTGCGCATGCGCCTGCTGCTGGGCTCCGAGCCTCGCGGGCGCTCAGCCACTGTGTGCTCAGCAAGCGCTTGCTTCCAGGCCCAGCCCACTGGCCGCTGAGGGGCGCCCTGCCCGCGTCCCTCTTCCCTGTCGTCTCGCAGGAAGCCCGGTCAGCGCTTGGTGGCGTTTGGCAGGGGCGGCAGGACGGGCGCTGTGCTACCGTGGGTGCGGGGACACCGGCAGCTGCTAAGGAAGCGGCCGGGCGCCACCTGCGGGTCCCTGGCTGCCAGGCCCACGGCCCTTCCGGTCGGCTCGGGCAGCGCGGGCGTCACCTCTCCCCTTCCCTTCCAGGCCCAGGCGGGGAGAGGCGCGCTGACGGCCCCGCGTCCCGGAGGACCCCCAAGGCGCCCAGGCCTGGCGCCACACACGGGGGCCCGCGGCCTCACGTCACTCGGCTCTGGCGCCCGAGGAGCAGCTGCTGTGCGTGGATCCTGGTGGAGACTGCGCGGGAAGCCGGCCCCGCTGCCAGCCCGGGCCCAGCTGCGGGCTCCCTGGAGCCGCCTGCTCTCCCCTGGGAAGTAGGTGGAGGCTGAGGCGGGAGCGAGCAGGTCCCGGTGGCAGGTGGCCTGGCTGTTGGCGCAGCATGCAGGTGCACGGGTGGGTGCATGGATCGCCTTCTCGGGCCTCCCTTCTCGGGCTCCTCCCGCCGGGCTCCCCACGGCCTCCGGGTCTTTCACGGTGTGATGCGGGGTGAGCGGAACTACGCGGAAGCCAATGGGACTGAAATAAACTGCAGCGAAGAGCCTGGGAGTGAGAGCGTCACGTGCCGAGTGCGGCCCAGGGATCCAGGCGGAGGACGAGGTCCCTGTCCTTAACCACGCGCGAGCACTTTCGGCAGGAACACATCTGGGGTGGTGGGGTGGGAGGGTGCTGGTAGAGAGGAGAAGAAGAAGGTAAAGGAGGACAGGGGACCACTGGAAGTAGCAACGCATCCGGGAAAGGAAGAGAAAATCGTTGACGTTTCTCCATCTGAGGAGCCCAGCTCTGAACCACAGGCATCTGAGGCCCCTTCTGGGGCCGGGACACTACTGGGAGGCAGGGTCATCTTGGCTCATGGTTTCAGGGGGTTCAGTCCGAGGTCTCCAGGCAGCCGTCAGTCGGGAAGGTGACCGCCTCCCGGTGGCCAGTAAGCAGAGGGAGAGAGCAAGAGAGGAAGGGACAAGATGCGGTCCATCCCGCAAGGCCCCCTCGGACCTCTCCTTCCCACCAAGCCCCGCCGCCTAGGTTTCCTTCACCTCCCCAAACACCATCACATCTGTTAGTGCATCGAAGCACTGGTGAAATGGATAGCCTTTGGGATCCAATCAGCTTCCGAAAGCCCACCTCGGGACACACGGGATGGGGACATTTTAGATCCACACCCTGACACCTGCTACATGAGCATCTCAGGAACGGGCCCAGAAGCTGCATTTTCTAGGAGGCTCTGAAGTGAATTCAAACCCAGCAGCTAGCAGGGAGGGGCACTCGGTGGGTCCTGGAATCCCTTCCTGCGTCACACGAGTGGTTGTCACCCATCAGCACACCAGAAGCCCTGGCATTTGTCACAGCGGACTGAGGGCTCCACCCAGGTGCAGGCCAGGGGCATTTCCCAACTTTCCAACAAAATTAAACAGACGCCCTTCTTGTTCCTCTGGCTGCCGGGAAGACATCTGCAGTGAAACGTGGGGCAGAGAATGTGACGAACGCAGCCCATTCCACGCCCAGCGTGGCACCAGGGGTGCCTAGAAAAGATCTGCCACTTTGGTTTACAACTCGCCTGGCACCGCTCCTGGGCCTCGTCCTGTGCTCTCTTCCGGGGACGCCATGACGGCACCAAGTATGGGCAGCGCCGCCCCACCCTCCAGAAAAGAGAACTCAGAAGCCAGTACAGAGGGGCAGCTGCTGCGGTCCCTGCTACTGTTTTGACCCAGGAGATCAAGGCCAGCCTGGGCGACACAGTGGGATCCTGTCTCAAAATAAATAACACCAAGAATTGAACACTTGGGCCCAGCACGTGGGATGATAATGTAGGGCGTCGCGACCCCGGTCACAGGAGGGACCACGCGGGCTGGACTCCCAGCCGCAGCCTCAGACGGAAGAGAGGAGCTCGGCGGGGAGCAATTCCAGGCGCCGCCGGCAGAGGGCGCCGCGCCGGGTCCCCAGCCGGGCGCCCCCACGCGGCACCGCCGCGCTTTTTCGCTCGGGCGCGAGGCAGGCAGCGGCTTTCGGGCACTGGGGGCCTCGGAGCCCTGCCTGGGACTCAGGAGTAAAGCAGGCCTTTCCCTCCCAGACCCGGAAAGGGAGGAGGACACCGGGCCCGCTCGGCGCCGGGGACTGCGTGACCTGGGCATCCCGGGCCGAGGGCATTTTGCACCGTGTCTGAGACGAAGCTCGCTGAGGCCCGGAGCTGGGCTGGGCGTCACGGCGGTCCTGCTGCCGGCCGGAACCGGACCCCAGGACGCAGGAACGGGGTGCGCAGCCAGCGGCCTGAGATGTCTCTGGGCTGAGTGCGCTGGGGCGCTTTCCACACCCGAGGAAGAAAGGCTCTCGGGGCTCTGGGACAGGCCGAGCCCCTCCACCCCATCCAGCTGAACCTGCTTTGATAGCTGTTAGCATGGAGAAGAAACCTGGGAATTCACGGGGGTCTGGGAGGGACAGGCGGTGCTGTCCAGGTTGCCCGCGCCCTTCAGAGGACACAGCCGAGTGCCCGAAGGCTGCTCGGACTGTGAGATGACGGCCTTCTTTTCCCTTTAAATATTCCTGCATCAGGAAGCCGAGGCAGGAGCATGGCAGCAAGCTTGGGGCTAGCCTGAGCTCCACTGGGCGAGAGAATCCTGCCATTTTCCACACTGTGGGGGGCTGCCCTCCGGTTCGGGCAGGCAGCTGCAGCCCCTCTTTGGCCGCGCTGTTACTGGCACCCTGACAGCGGCCAGGCTCGGGCAGCCGCAGCCAGCCAGGCCAGTCGCAGCCACGTTTGGCTGTGGCTTCTCTCCCTGAGTAGCCTGGGAAAGGAGGTACCGCTTGTTTCTTATTTAAAACAGACTCTGGCAGCCGGACTTCGAGAGCCGACTTTGTTGTTGTGAGCGAGCAACCTTCAATTATGTTTAAAATAAACCCGGCCCCTCCCTCCTGCTTCCTCGCGGAGCAGAGCTGGGAGGCGGTGGCCGCTGGCGCCCTGGCCAGTCAGGCCCTGCCTTGATAGCCGGCCCCTTCAGAGGAGCCTCTGGAGCCAGGCGTGGGGTGCAGGCCTGTGACCCCAGCTACTCGGGAGGCTGAGGTGGGAGAATCCGGATTTCGTGGCCAGCCTGGGCACCTTAGCGACAGCCGATCTCCAGCCCACCCAGAGATGCTTTCAAAGTGGGTGAGCCCGGGGGAAGTGCAGACACCCCAGCAAGACCCCCAAGCATGGCTGATGGGTTGGGGCCACGCAGGGGCCGTGGGGGGACCAGGGCTGCACACCCTAAGCCGGCCTCGGGGCTGTGGGGCTCATGGGAGCGCTGAGGTCACAGCAGAGAGACCCAGGGGATGCGGGACCCTGGTCTCTTCCTCTGCTACTCGGGCTGCCCGCCACGGCCTGGCAGTGGGCTGCTGGGCCAGAAACCATCCTGCTCCCTGCCTGACTTCAGGTGTTTGTCACTGGGCCGGGACACGCCACAGCCCACTGGTCCTGCTCACAGTCTGCTCAGTGCTGCCTCTCAATGCCTGGTGGCAGGCTGTGGAGGAGGAAGGGCCTGTGGCCCAGGACAGACGGGACAACTTGCAGGGGCCACACACTGCACCCTCTCCCTCGGTCCCGTCACACCTGCCCTCCCCCAGGAGCCCGCCGCTCACACGAGCCCCTCCCAACGCGGGCTCGGAGTGGCCCTCGACACCGCTGGCTGGGCCCCTGCGGCCGCAGGTCTTTGGACGGAGTACAGCAAGTCACAGGACAGCCGCGTGACCGGCAATCTGCCGTTTTTAAAATATAACATTTATTGCTTAGATGGTTCGATACAGAACAGCTTTCTTTTCATTCTGGATTTGGAAGTTCTATACAACTGAGTACAAAGAGGAACAAAAAGTACCAAAACCAACCTTGTGATTCTCTGTTCATGTGGCATAAACCAATTTTGTACATAACATGTAGCAGCAGTTTTTAAGTTCCCTTTAGAAAAATATGAATTCTACATATTTATTATTGCTTCCTGTTTAATGCATGGGCTGAAATCACTAGGATCAACTTCCTTCTTGGAGGGAGAGAGGAGAGAGACGATGAAGATGAATCTGAGGCCGCCTCCGACTGTCTCGGGGCTGCGGGGCTGTTTGGAAACAGCTCCTGGGTGTTTGTTCTGTTCTCACAGCCAGGTGTTTCATGTAGTGATTGAATCTCAGCATTGTGTCCATTAATCAAAGAGGAAAAAACAAAAGAGAAAACAACTTGCACCTCAAAAAACTTTTCAGAAGATCCATATATATATATTTTTTTGTAAAAGCCCTGAGAGAAGGAGAAAGAGAATCAAACAAAATGTATAGGAACAAATTAGCTGGACATGCAAACTAAGCTATGATTCACCCAGCGTTTAAACCAATCACAAATTTCACAGTTTAATATTGGGGGAGGGGTGGAACAACAAACAAATAATACATTTCTCAACCTCACTAATAAAACGTGGCAAGACCTTATTGACTAGGAGGGTAGAGATCCAGGTAAATAAAGCTTTAAGTCAATAGTGATCACTGTGCGGCAGCCCTGGCACGCGGTCGCCAGGGCCGAGCCCTGCTACATCTCACTGCAGCGGAGAGTTTAGTCCTGGCTTCTCCCCACAAGATTGCGAGTTTAGTGTGGAGAGTTGCGAAGAAAAACAACACAAGAAACCCCAAATAATGATAACAATGAAAATAACAACAACAATTGTAATAATAATAAAAAATAACTAAGGGATGCACGAACTGGTTTTAACTTAGAAGACACCACGGGATCATTGGTTCTGATGTGCACTCCCCTCTACAGTAAAGAAAACCTCACTTTTAAACTGGTTCGCACAGCCCGGATACAGTCAAACATCGTATGTACCTCGGCCTTTTTCATCTGCAGAGAGGCTCTTTCCACAGTCTCCAGGCCAGCTTCCTGTGAGGCCGCGTGGGGTGGGCGCGCTCCAGTGGTTGCACTGGAGAGGTGGAAGGGCTGCGCCGGGGCAAGGCGGTGAGGGCCAAGGGGCGCCGGGCACAGGTCAGCACGGCCTGGCCGCCATCCATGCCCGCGTGGGGTGCTCAGTGGAGGGAGCCATCCCGCCTTTCCCGTGAGGACCGAAGACAGCGTGTCATCTTCTGGCACTGCCCCACGTCGCAGGAAGGGGACACAAACCTGTCCTCCACCTTGCTCGTAGTTTTATTACCAGTAGTAGTATCTTGTTGCTTTTCAAAGGACAGTAGCACAGCTGGGGCGGGGCCAGGATGGGGTTGGCGGGGCGTCTCCCAGCCCCGAGGACCCGGCCCGCTGGATCCTGCAGTCACGGAAGGAGGGCTTGTCTAGGTACAGTAGAAGAGCAGTCACTGCAGTGCGCTGGCGAGAGCATCAGGCACACAGCGCGCAGGGATGGGGGGACGGGGGGGTGGGGTGGCACAGGTCCCCCAGGACAAATATTGCCCACTTGTTTCTGCTGACTGCAGAGCCCAGCAAACGGATGAACTAAAAATAATAATAATAATAATAATAATATTAATAATAACATATACTGAATGGGGAATGGGGAGGGGATGAACTGTATAACATCCAAGCGTATCTTCCATAGGTTAGGAGGCGGGAGGTGACTCTTCTCTGTAAATCAAGAATGGAGGGCTTGAAACTTGTACAGTGACCACTTCCAACGCAGGAAGAATGGAAATGCGTATGAAGGCGAAGCTACAAATCTTTCCTGGTTTTGGCTGGAATAACATTGCAACCTTCATCGGCCACATCCGGTGACACCAAGGACCAGGTCACAGCTCCTCTGTCACTCAGGGAACAAGAGAAATGTCCGCGTGACAAGTCAGCATGGCATCCACTTCCACTCCGGGCAATGACATGAAATTCACCTCGTTTTCTTCCAGTTATTGGCTCTGGGTATTCAACGGCGTGTTTTCTTCTGCTGTTTCCAGCTCGCAGAACAAACAGTACGATCACAGATTCACAAAGACAACTGTACACACACCAGTACAAAAGACAACGCTAATGCTCAGGCGGGGAGCTCCCGGAACAATTCATTACAACAAGCTCTGCGAAGGCAGGCGAAGGCGAAGGTCGCTCTGGGAGAAGCCCACACCCGAGGTGACGGAGACCGAGACCGGAGTAGTTAAGGCACTGGCACGGCCGGGCTGCCCGCGGGAAGGCTTGGGCACAGCTGCGGCCGCGCGCTGCCTCTCCTGGCCCTCGGACACCGAGGGGCACCGGGCGCACCCTGCTGGTGGCCTCACTGCAGCCCCAGGAGCTGTGAGGCACCCTCGGCGGCCAGGATGGGGTGCGGCGGCCGCTTGCCGCACAGCTCCAGCAGGTCCTGCACAAGGGCGGCGGGGCTGTCCCGGCCGGGGTCCCGCGGGGAGCCCTGCGCCTGCTCCTGCACCTGCTCCCGCGCCTGCTCCTTGTCCTTCCTGCTCCGGGTGACGGCTGCGCGGCCGCTGGTGCCGGGAGCCGCCTCGGCCTCGCTCTCGGAAGCGCCGTTGTTGCCGCCGCTGGGGGTGGACTCGCCCTCGCTGTCCTCCTCCGCCCGCTCGTCCTTGTCGCTGTCCTTCCCGGGGTGTTTCCCGTGCCGGACTTTCTGGTGGATCCGCTGGTGCCGCACCAGGCTGTGCTTCAGGGTGAAGGTCCGCTCGCAGGTCTGGCACTTGTACGGTCTTTCCCCTGGAGGCGGAGAGGAAGCGACAGGGCGTTAGTGGCAGGCCAGGGGTCCCTCTCCAGGACAGCTCTCTGGCTGTGTCACGTGGCCAAGGGGACGGACGCGCCGGGCGGTGCTCCTCCCGCCCCGCACCCACAGCTCCAGCTGGCTCGTCCTAGGCCCAGAGCCCCGCGGACACGCAGCCCGGCTGGCCCGCGCCTCGGCAGGGACCGGGCTCCCCGTGCTCGCAGGCAGAGCTGGCAGCCCAGTGTTTCAAGGTTGCATCCTCGTTGCCTTTTCTGCCAAGACAATGGGCCTTGCCTTGAGGTTTGTGCTACCACAGGGCCACAAAAGGAGCGCCCCGGTCACTGCGCTCGCGGGCCCAGGCGCTGACCGAGCCCTGCGCGCCTTCCCTTACCTGTGTGGGACCGCATGTGCCGGGTGAGGTCCTGCAGGGACCAGAAGCGCTTGTTGCACACGCTGCACACCTTCTTCCTCTTGTCGGCCTTGCTGGCCGCGCCTTTCGGGCAGTCTGTCTTTGGTTTCTTGTCGTCGTCGCTCTTCTCCGAGGACTTCCTCTCCGCCGCGCCCTCTCCGTCCGAGGGGCCCTCCGTCTCCTCACTCTGCTTCTCCACCGAGCCCTCAGCGGCGCCCATGGCCCGGTCCTCCGGCGGGGGCTCCGCGGGCCTCTCCTCGGACTCGGGGCCGGGCGGGGGGCCGTCGTCCTCCGGCGGCGGCGGCGGCGCCTCCTTCCCATCCCTGGGCTCCTGGTGGCTGTGCGCCTTCCGGTGGCGGCTCAGGGTGCCCCGGAACTTGAAGCTCTTCCCGCAGGTGTCGCAGGCGTGCTTCTGGTCCTGTGGGGCTGGGCCCGGGCCGTCCCCGGCACCCGCCTGGCCCTCGGCCAGCTTGAAGTCCATCAGCTTGCTGGCCAAGTCCAGGTCCAGGCTCTTGCTGCTGGCCGAGTCTTCCTCCGGGCTTTCCGCGTCTGCGTCCCCGCCCCCGGTGCTGTCCTCCGCGCCGCGCTCTTCCTCTGGCTCCAGCTTCTCCTCGGACACCTTCTCCCCAGGCCTGGGGGAGGCCGCCTCAGCCCCCTCGGCCTCCTCTTCCTCCTCCTCTTCCTCCTCCTCTTCCTCCTCCTCCTCTTCCTCCTCCTCTGCGGGCTCCTCCCGGGCCTGGCTGGGCTCCGCAGCGCCCTCTGCTGGCGGCGGCTCGCGGTCCCGGGCCGTGAGATCCAGCACCTCGCTGGTGGCCGCCAACATCTCGGTGTCGGACTGGCTGTCTGTGAGCAAGCACAGGGGAGGGGTCAGGCCGGGCCGCCAAGGATGGGGTGGAAGGAGAAAACCAGCTTCACCTCCCCGCAGGAAGGCGGGCTCCGGGCTGCTGGGTGCCAGCCTCCCCGGGGATGCGCAGGGCCCGCCCCCAGGAAGGTGCGAGTGACTCAGGCAGCACAGAGAGAGGCTCCAGACAGGACAGGAGTGCATTCACTAGGGAGGCTGAGGAAGCCGAGTTATTTTTCCAGCGCAGAGAGATGATACAAACATGCAACACACACAGGGCCCTCCCTCAAGGCCTCCAACAGAGTCGACAGTGTGTGCACACTCACCTCCAGCTGGAGGTCAGGGGCCAGAGGAGACCCATGCGCCCCCTCCCACTGCAGGATGCAGAAACACTTCCGGGGGAGCCGGGCAAGAGCACACTGGGAGTGCGGGTGTGGGGCGCGGGCCGGGATCAGGGCTTTGGCGTCCCTGCCCCCCGCGTGCTGCTGTCCACTGTGCATAGCACAATGAGATGTACAAGGCCCGCGGCGTTCGAGGGCCCCAAGCGATGGCACTGTGGCAACACTAACGCCAAGCAGCACAGCACTGCCCACTTTTTACTCAGGCTAGCAAAGATCCCACAGCTGACTGTCACTTGCCGAGGCCAGGAGGCCCCACTCCGTTAGGTACCACCAAGGTGGCCATGGGAGGACCGGAAGCCTGGGCTGCCTTTCCCCGGTCCCCAGAGAGGTACAGCTCTCACACCTGCCGGGCTTCGGGCTCACCGGCACCACACGGCCACCAGCACCATCTCACTGGCTTTGTTTCAGCTGCACCTTGTGACGCCACCGTGTGGGCACCTCAAGGAGTTCAGAAGGAAACAATCATGGTGTGAACAGGGAATTTCTGACAGGAAATAGGACTCCTGAGAGATGGACTAATGTTTAGGCCACATTTCAAGGAAAAACCTAAATGAGCATTTTTCTGTTATTATTCCAACAGAAAGCATCTATAGAAGGTCTTCTGATAGAACTCTACAATGAAAATAGAGAACCCTTAGCTTATTTGTTGGCTTTGTGATTTTTTTTAAAGGTCTAATGTCTGATTCTTTCCATTTTGTCCCAGGATCTCCTACACTGGATTTTTTTTTCCTTTTGAGACAAGGCCTCATTACGATTCCAGGCTGGTCTTGAACCCGCCTCCAAGGAACTGTGACCATGGGTGGGCCCAGGGCCTGGCACATGGACTGTTTAAACCATATGGAACTCATTGAAGATGATAAACCTAAAAAAGAAATTAATTCTGCACCACACCCACATACATACACTCTGCCTCGGCCTCGCTGAGGGTGGACAGATAATGTAAAGTTCTCCCAAGGACAGTGATGGGCACTCCCTCTCTGAGCAAAAGGGGACTCAGCTGTCCTCCCCAACCTCTGCGGGGAGGCTGTGCTTGCAGGGAGGCTGCTGTGCCCTCCAAGTCCTAAGCAGCTCCAACCGATTCCAAGAGTGATTCTTGGTACACACAGACAACCTCTTCACGCACATGAATACATTCAACTTCTAAGGCCAGGTCCCAGTTTGGCCCTTCACCTCACCCAGGCTCGCAAATGTGCAAATCCAAGTAGCAGAGCAGACGGATCCTTATAAGCAATCCCACCTTAAAAGCGTGGATTGCTTCTCTGTCCCCATCAGCCCCTCACTCGTGTTGGTAACACTTAAGAAAACTGCTGGAGGAAGCAGAGGAATCCGGGTAGGTACGGAAGCCTCGGCTACTCCTGCAGGGCAGCTCAACCGTGAAGCAGCTACCTATCGTCCTCTGGAAATGAGATGTCGCTCAACTGATGCGACAGACACAACCAGTTGTCCTCAATAATTAATCTGTTGGGCAGGGGCCTCTGTCTGCTATGGAAGCTGCTGCTTGCATAACCCCGGATGCAGTCCTGCGCCGGAAGCATCCCCTGGCCCAGGGCACACAGACACAAGGGCCGCCAGGGCTGGTAAAGAGGGGCAAAGCCAAGGGAGAGGGCGAGAACCTTAGCGTTTATGTTGACTAAAAGCAGCCCTGCCAGGCACCTGCTGCCACAGAGGCTCCTCCAAGGAAGACCTGAGGGTCCTGCTTGGGGGCAAGGGGCCAGGGGCCTCTGTCCAGCAGAGTGGCTTCTGATGAAAGCTGAACAGCAGATGCAGCCTTGCAGGGAAGAACAGACCGCTCCTCACTGTGGCAGTTTTAGCACTGTTTTGGGGGAGATCTGGAGTGCTTTTTCCTGAAACTCCTTAAGTGACTAAAGGTCACGCTGACCTTACAAAATCATGGTTAGGGATTTCAGGAAAATGCACTGCAGGCATATAAGCATAGAAACCTCAAGAACTTCTGGGTCATTTCCTTCCTTTCAAAGAATAGTCTGCCGCTCTGAAGTCTCGCCTTTAACTTCCTGGGAGGGATTCCCATGAAACCATTGCCGGCCCTCAGCAGGTTTACCTGCTGTGTAAATTTCTCCTTGAAGTCCCTGAATTCCTATCTCCTTGACTTGCTTCCTCTCCCTCCTAAATCTTGGCTCTTTCTTACCAAGGACTGTGACCGCAGTTAAACCTAACATCTATCTTCTCTTTGCTGGTTTCCCATTACAACTTTCAGCCACTTTTCTTTTCCCAGAGGCTTTGTCCCTTTAAGAAAACCTATACAACTTCCGGGGCAGGGCCTTGGGAAAACAAAACCTGTTACTGAGAACTTACAAAGCAAACACATCCACAGGCTAGCTCTTGGGGCTGAGGTGAAGCTCAGACCAAGTCCTGATGAAGCTCTGCGTCCACAGCGGCTCCATCCGCCCCTCTGCAGACAGCGCGGGCCCAGTGCGTTTTCCTCCCACACAACTGGAATGCCGAGCGAAGCGAGTACAGCGCATATTGCTACCCTTCCAGACACGGCTGCAAACACAGCAGAAACAGCCCCAGTGAGCAGCGCGTCCCTCCTTTAGAAGTGCTATGGGAACAATCGAAAGGCCACTCTGGAAACTGGGCCGCCAGAGTGTTCCAGACCAATAGGTGTGGCGTGGCTGGCAGTTACACGTTAACAGGACGGGCTGCGGCAAGGGCAGGGCCTGAGCACCCGAGGTGAGCTTCCACTGCTCCAGCAGATCCTGGCTGGCTGGCCGGGAAGCGAAGCTGGCAGGATGCCGTGGACGCCCACAGCGTTCCCTACTCAAAAGACACGGGAGCCAGAGAAGGGGCCGGCGAGCCCACGAGGGCTTGACCCAGTCGGAGGGCGGGCAGGTCAGGGCACCCTCCCTCCGCCTGCTCAGCTCAGCACGGCGGGGTGGGAGCCGGGATCAGTTCTGCGCCTGGAAATGCCGCCCCTCCCCACGCGGCCTAACCTGGCGCTGAGCAAGGACAGGGGTCTGGAGCGCCCGTCCCTCTGTCCACACTGACTTCCGGGGTGGGGGTGCCTCCTACACTGCTCGGCACTCCCTCCCAGCCAAGTCCAGGGAGGAGAAGCCGTGGACACAGTTCAGTGGACTCTCCTCAGCTTGGCTCAGGCCCAGGGAATAAATGCCAGGTTCTCGAGACCTGCAGAACCAAACCCAGCGCCTGCAACACCCGTACAGACCTAAGCTCCCTGCAGCAGCCTCGTTTCTGTTTGGTTTTGGGGATTGGGGTGCCACACCCCAGCAGTCAGAGAGATGGAGCGTACTGAATAGAGGACATTAGTAAATATGGAAGCTGAGGGGTGGCGTTAATTGCACTGCAGGGGGCTGGAGGGAGGAAGCACACATCAGCACGGAGAATAATACCCGGATTCAGGTCAAACAGAGATGTGATTAAAGAAAGGACATGCAGAGTGCTTTTTAAACGAGGATAGTTTTATGCTGGAAGAGAGTTATTGGAAAGAAAAACACCCTGCGCTGCCCCTCCCCAGCAAGGGCTCAGCACCCCTGGCTCCTGCAACACCCTGACTTCCCAGGAGCCCCTCCCGGCTCCCAGCCTTCCCCGGGTCTCGGCCCTCAGAGGCATCACGCGGGAGCCAGGACTGTGAAGACCCGCATCTCCCACCTCCCACCCCAGGGACAGAGGCAGCGGCTGTGGGCAGCTCCAGGAAGTCACCAGAGGCACTGCCACTGTGCCCCGTGTCCCCGGGCTCGGCTAGCTCAGTCTGCTGCGTGTCTAGGCCCATCTGGCCTGGGGCCCATCCTAGGAGAAGACAGGTCAAGGATGAGGTGGGCTGGAAGCGGCGCCCTGGAGCTCGCTAAGGCTGAGCAGGGAGCGCGGACGGAGCTGGGGTCCTCCGTCCCCGGGGCACTACCTGTGCTATCATGGGATCCAACATCACTCTCTCTGGGGGGGATAAGCCCGTTTCTTCTCAGGGAGCAGGCGGTAACTCCGTGTTTGCGCAACTGGTGGCGTTCACAGTTAGATTTGGTAGAAAAGAAGGCATCGCATTTTTGACAAGGGAAAGGTTTCTGACCTGAAGCAGGAAAAAAAATATATATTTATCTGGCTTTCTACAGCAATGGAAAAGAAAAGTCGCTTTTGATTTATCCTCCTGGGGATACTGCCACTGGTTTCCCCTCCTCCACCCCTTCCTTTTAAGAAACAAAACACATTTAAAACAAAACAAAACTGAGAAACACCAATGACTAAAATGGTAATTTTCCCTCAACTTGAGTGGAAAGAAGTGTTTGTCTTCGAAATACTAGAAAATTAACAACGAAACCAAGATAACATGTTTGAAGTAAAACAATGGTATTATAATTAAAAAACATTAAATAGTGACAGCAACAATATAAAAGTGAAGGGTTTGGAGCAAGATAACACTTACATCTGACCACAAAGGAAAGACAGTGCCAGCCCGGGCCTGGCAAGCCGTACCCTGCCAGGGAGCAAGTGCCGCAGGAAGGGGTGCAGGTGCCCTGGGCCCCGCAGAGAAGTTGGGGAGCCCCCAAGCTTGGGAAGGTGGCACTGCCTGGGCACCCAGGACCTCCCGCCTGGCTGCTGGGTGTCCTGCAGGGACCCCTGCCCGATGGCGAGAGATGGGAGAGCTTCGCACAGGGCTCTTGTTGCCCGCTCAGTGCTGGCTTTGTGGGACCTGCACCTGCACCAATCGTGCCCTTGCTCCTGAGGCGGACAGAGGAAGTCGCCCGCCCCACCGGGCTCAGCACCATGAGGAGTGGACGCTGAGCCCAGCCCTCTCCCTTTCCCCCTTCCCTCGGGAGGTCTGCAGTTTTGGTCTTTTTATCTGGATTTCTTTTGTGCTGTAAACATGTTTCAAAATGCAATCAAAGCCTGCGCAACTTATCCTGGGTTTGTGTGGTGGATGGGAGGGAAGAGGCAGGGCAGAGGGGCAGAGGGAGGGAGGGAAAGGAGGTGGAGAAAGGGCAGCAGGGGACAGTGGAGGAGGGGAGGGAGGAGAGGAAAGAGCGGGAGAGGAAGGCGGGAGGCAGGAAAGAGGGAGGGGAGGGTCCGGTGGGGACGGAAGGTGGGGCCATCTTCTGCTGCACTGCTGGCCTCTTCCTTCCTTTTTCCCTGAGACCAGATTCTAGGTCCCAGCTTCCAATTTCACAGGGGAAAGGTGTCAGGCGGCCTGGTGCTGCTACCTCAGAACTTTGAAGATGCCGCAGCCAAACATGTGAGTTAAGAACTGGCCGAAGAGGGCCAAGCGTGGTGGCATGCAGCAGCGCTTGGGAGGCTGAGGCAGGAGGCCGGCGTGGGCTACACAGTGAGTTCCAGGCCAGCCTGAACTATGGAGTGAGACCCTGTCTCAAACACCAGAACTGGTGGAGCGGTCATAGCACAGATCTGCAGACACAAACCCCGGGACCTTGGGGCTCCTCGGGGACCAAGGTTGGACGCTTGCTGGAGCTTGGCAGGGCCTGGTGCCAGGGGCTGAGTCGCAGGGGCAGATGGTTCCCCAAGGGAGGGAAGGACGAGCGACTGGCACCGCTAGGTCGCACGACTCCATACAAGGAACCATGGCGGATGGGGCGCTTACTCCCTCCTGAACAGGGCCCTGCAGTGAGGCCCCATCTCCCATGCAGCTGCTGGAGGCTCCATGGCAGAGGCCCTGGGTCCCATCCCCAGCACCCTACCCCCAAGGGGAACAAGTCAGAGCCACTGTGCTAGGCTTCCCGCTTCTGCCACTGTGCTAGGCTTCCCACTTCTGCCGAGGACGATTTTCACTCTGGTCAGCGCTGCCCTTGAGCTGGCTGGAGAGCCAGGCTGACGGCTCTGAGGACGGCACCACAGAGACAGGCGATGGTGCCCAGCGCCACAGCCTTGGGAAGGGACTGCAGCAAGCCGAGTTTCACTGCAGAAGCCCGACGCCTCTCGTGATGGCTCGGAAGGGGTGCCGTGGGTGGCCTGCACCCCGGACTTCGGCACCCCAGCCAGGAGTGTGCACAGCATGGTGAAGCCAGCCCGGGAGATGAGCTTTCCGGAAGGCACCCGAGAGCATACCCCTCCACCCCCAACTGCTGCTCTCCCACTAAGGAGGGCAAGGCTGCAGACCTTGCTTTGCTTTCCTTTTCCTCAAGGGAGGACACAGGACACGGCTCAAGGCCCTGCCACACCCCTACCCCAGAGGCGAAGGCGCCCTTGTATTTCCTCTTCTCCCTGCATCTGCAGACTGCACACAGGGCTGGGCTCAAAAGACCACAGCTGCCACTTAAGAAAGTTAAAAGCAGCCAAATAAAATACAGCTGGTGTCCAAGGTGCTTTCCACACTTAGGTATTCTACCACTGAGCTGCACCCCAAGCCCTTTAACAATTTTATTTTGATACAAGATCTTGCTAAGTTGCTCTAACTGGCCCTGAACTTGTGATCCTCCTGCCTCAGCCTCCTTATGTAGCTGGGGTTATAGGCAGGAGCCACCACATCTGGTTCTTACTTAGACTCTGACCCTTGTTTCTTGTTAGCTGCGAGTAGGAACAGGTCGGGAAAGAGGGACCTCAGCCATCCTGAGCTCCCACCCTGTCTCTGTGGGACAAGGAACCGAGCTGAGGGAAGGAGGAAGATGAGGCCAGAACTGCACAGGGCATGGGACACAGGACACAGGACACGGGACACAGGACACAGGACACAGGACAAGATGCCCGCGAGAGTCTCCAGGTGGGGGTGGGGACACTTGGGGAGGGAAGGTGAGGAGCCAGGACCCATCCCCACCAGCACGAAGCCGGAGAGGGGCCCAGGAAGGCAGGTGTGTGGAGACCACGCCAGGGGACCGGAAAGATGACAGCCGACAGCAACATCCTCCTGACAGTTCCTGAATCCCGAGCTGGGGCAGAAAGGGCTGCACCGTGCGCTCTGCTGCCCCGTGGGGTGGTGGCTTGGGGACACCAGGGTGACTGGGTTTGCTGAGAGGCGGTGGGTGGCAGCTGACCTGTAGGATGGAGGGGTTTGCTGAACTACAGGGGCAGACCTGATGCTGCTGGCTGGAACTGAGCTGATTTACTTTGTATCATTTTATTTTGAGACAGGGATTTTCGTTTTGGTACCAGAGATCGAACTCAGGACCTTGGGCTTGCAAGGCAGGCGGCGGAACCACTGAGCTAAATCCCGGGCTCCAGACAGGGTCTTGGAATTAATTTGCTCAAGCTGGCCTTATGTGATCCTCCTGCCTCAGTCTCCTGCAGGAAGCTGTCATCTAGATGTGAATACTACACTTCAAAGGCTGAATAGGGACTAGAATGGTTTCACTGTGGCTGGCTGAGGCAGGAGGATCACAAGTCTGAGCTCAGCCTGGGCAATTTAGTGATGTAGCCTGTCCTTGCCTAAATTAGCGGGGGATGCAGCTTAGAGCAAAGGCCTGGAGTTCTGCCAGTGGTGCACAGCAAAGGAAGTTAGTGGAGCCCAGTCAGTGTCCAGAACAGCCCTGTGGTCATTAAAGACCCCAATTAACAGCATTCCGACTCACAGCCGTACCCCCCAAGACTTCCACTCTTCCGGACTCAGACTTGTGAGGACCCAGGGAGGCCTCAGTAGAGGACCAGGCAATCACGGGGCGCTGCGGGGAACTTTGCAGGGGGAGCTGGAACCGCACCTGCCTCCCATCATCCTCAGCCCCTCCCAGGACAGCCGCGGGCCCCAGCTCCAAAGGGAACAGACAGGAGAGGCTGTCAGAGACCAGCGCAGTCTACTCGGTTCCCAGAGCCACGAAGGTGGAACATGCTTGCGCTGATGTCCATTCCACCTGCTTTCCTTTTACCTCGCTGGGTTCGGATGCCACAAAATTTTACATCAAGGGTTCTGGCATCGCAGAGCCAGGCAGTCACCACTGGACCCTGCCGGGGGAACTCGTATCAGGCAAAGACTCCAGCCCGATTCCGGCTGCTCCAGCTTCTTGGGGAGGCTGTCAGCTTGCTGGGAACAGAACCATCTCAGCATAACGCAGCATCTAACAGCACGGGGTGCTCCTCGGGAGGAGGGCGGGGCGGCTGGGTGAGGGCGGCCCAGGCTAGGGGAGGAAGGCCAGGCCCGAGCCTGGTCACCAGATCTCGGCCACCTGCTGCTGAAAAGTGGAGACAGAACTATTTCTCCAAAGACCCCGCAGGCGACAAAAAGGGCAGCAAAAGACATCACTGTGTGGGGCACTGTCCAGGAACTGCTACCTCCCTGAGGACTGTGGGCTTTGTGAGGTTTGAATTATTTCAGTGGAAAGAAAATGAGCCTGAAAAGGCAGCGTGTGCTTCATGAACGGGATGGCGGCTGCACTGCTGACTCTGAGAGCCCCAGCCCGGCCAGGCCCCAGCCCCGCAGGGCCAGGAGCAGATGCTGCAGCCTCCAGCCTCCTCCTCAGGCCACGCTGCCCCGCACTGTGCAGGTTCCAGCCCTTCTACCACCTCCCTCCTATCCCTCCACCTCCCCGCAGACTCAGCCCCTACCAAGGCCTGGGATGGCTTCACCGGACCTGCCTTCCTCCACGCCCGTGACGGCATCCTCACCCCACGTGTGACCTTCCACCGACCCGAGGCTGCCGTAGTTAGCAAACAAACTATGGGACGCCCAGTTAAACTGGAACTTCAGGTCAGCAGCAAGTGATACTTAGTCTTTCCCCAATACCTCAGAGAAAGACTTACAATAAAATACGTGTTACCTGAATTTTAAATTTAACCTGTATATCTTCCAATTCATCTGGTTTCAGGTCTTATCTATGAATATTTGGGTTATGAACTCCAGAAAGGCAAAAATCTCACTCAATTTACTTAGTTCAATGATACAAACCCTGTGAGAATATTTAGAAAATTTTAATTGAAATGAAGTGTGTAATCACTGGTATAAAATTATTTAAGATGCATTCCATATCCTAAATTCATCTTTAAAACTCAACTCACAGAAAGTAATATTTGAGAAATACTTTTGGTATATCATTTTGCCAATTTAAATATGTTACTTAGAATATTAGTCATTACTTAGAGGGTTTCTCTGAAAGAGCTGACAGTATTAGTGTTAATAAAAAAAATTCTACCACGATCCATTACCAGCTTTCAAAATGCACAGGGGAAGGGCACCCGCCTCAGTGAACTGAGAGAAACGGTCAATGTTACATTTGCAGTATTTCCCTTTCCCAATACATGGTGGCCAAAAGAACTGTACATGTTCAAACTTTTAAAGGCGGGGCCAGGGACGTGGCTCAGTGGCGCTGTGCCTGCCTGTGGGAGCCAGGTCCGGAGTTTGATCCCTGAGGACACTAAGACTGCGTCTCGCCACAGCCCTGAGCTCGTGCCGCTAACCCTCAAGTCCCACTTCTCCGGAGCTGCCTCCACGCTCTACCCGCACATGGTCTCGAAACCTTGGGGAGGGACCGGGGAGGCACACAAGGGACCCGCCGGGCTACGACCACTGCCACCTGCAAGCACGTCGTGCTGGACACTTCCCCTCGCCAGCAGCCCTGGGGCTCAGGTCCCAGGCACAGGCCCCCGTGCGAACCATGAGCACGGGAAACACACAGCATCCCTGGGCCCGAGAAGCCAGGAATGCGCGGGGTGCAGGGGGGGCCCCACTCCTTCGACTGGGCACTGCTTGGCTCAGCCTGCCGCTCCGCCCTGCATGCCCAGCTGGCCCTCTTACCGGTGTGTGTGAGCATGTGCCTCTGCAGGGAGCTGGCCCAAGGGAAGACCCAGGAACAGTGGGGACAGTTGATCTTCTGCAGGCAGTTGGCGTAGGAGTTCCGCTTCGCTCTCAGCAGCCTGTCCTCGGGGGGCCCGCCCTGCTCCTCATCGCTGGGCCCATGGAGGTCGGTGGGGCCCCCGGCCGCCTCCTCCTGAGCATGGTCCTCCGTGGTCTGCAGGAACGGGCTGAACTTGTTGCTGTCCGTGGTGGCCAGCATCTTCTCAATGCTGGCAAACTCCCCGCTGGAGTCCAGGTCCACCCCACCGTGGTTGGCACCGGGCTGGCTCTTCGCGCCCTTCTTGCGGCCCCTCTTCTTGGAGGAGCTGGCCGGGCCCTGCTCAGTCGGGGAGGCCGCCTCTGGGCTGCTGGCCACAGCAGGCGGGTCGCCACACTCCTTCGGGCTCCCGGGGTCCGCGGGTGTGGCTGCAGCTCTGGGGACGGCACCGCCTGAGCCGCCCACGGCTGCCGCGCTGCCGCCGCTGCCGCTCCTCAGGCCTGGGTCGGCCACCTTGGTGGTCTTGAGCAGGGTGGGGGCCGAGGACACGGATGAGATGATCTGGGCGATGGAGGCCAGTGGGGGCAGCTCTTCCGTCACAGAGGGCTTTGGTAAGAGCAGGGGGGGCTTAGGCCGCAGGGGCCGCAGCAGCGCTGGGCTGCTCAGGACGGGAGGGCTGCCGACGAGCGCCGACGAGTAGATGGGCACGGCCAGCTGCACGGAGCCCTGGAGGGGCTGAGCGTGGGGGTCCAGGGGCGCGGCCGTCACCACAGCGGCTGCAGGGCCCTCTAGGGTCCCGGCGGGCCCCAAAGTCGGGGGCAGGATCGAGCAGGGCGGTGGACAGGAAGCCGGCTGCTCAGCGCTTCCCCCTTCCTGCTCTGGCTTCTGGGCTTCGCCAGGGACAGCTGCATCCTTGTCTCCTTTCCTGCAGTTCTTCGGGATGGACAGGTCGATGGGCTCCATGGAGCAGTCGTAGGGGGCCAGGGAAGAAGGGCTCAGGAAGGGCACGTTTTCCTGCTTCACTTGCACCAGCGCCAGGCCCTTCTGAGAGAAGTCCAGCGGCTCGTTGAAGTCCACTGCAAAGCTGCTGGCCGGCTCCACCTTGACAGCTACGTGGGGCGGGGGCGGCTGAGGGGAGCCCCCATGAAGAAAGCCATTTTGGGGCTCCAGGAAGGCAGCGAGGGGCTTGCAGCCGGCTTCCGGGCCCCTCCCTGAGGCTTCCGCGCTGCCAGGGCCGCTGCCCGTGGCCAGCACGTGGCTCTCAATGTCCTGCTCGGGCACGTGCAGGTGCTGCTTGAGGATGTGGTGGATGCAGTTGCGCTTGGCAGTGAAGGCCGCACTGCACTCCTTGCACTCGAAGGGCTTGCGGGCCTTGTGGCAGCCGCCCAGGCCGCGGCCGCAGTGCGTGCGCATGTGGATGCGCAGGGCGCGGTAGTGCTTCAGGTCCTCCCCGCACAGCCGGCACACGGTGTCGGGCGCGCAGAAGGCATCCACCAGCTCGGCCGCGCTGCTGCTCACGTACTCGATGTTCTTCTCAATGTCCTTGCGCGTGGCCTTGAGGTGCTTCTTGCGCAGGTGGCGCTCGCAGTTGGCCTTGACGGTGAAGGGGTAGTGGCAGATCTTGCAGATGTAGGGCCGCTCACCGCTGTGCGTGCGCAGGTGGCGGATGAGCGCCGCCTTGTCGGCCGCGATGTAGTCACAGATGTTGCACTGGTAGGGGGAGATGCCCAGGTGGGAGCGCACGTGCGCACGCAGCACCCCCGAGAAGGCGAACACCTGGTTGCAGAAGCGGCAGGGGTAGAGCACCTTGCGGACAGTGGGCGCCTTCTTGCCGCCGGGCCCCGTCATGATGGCCTTGAGGTCGCCCTCCGCGATCTCCTGCTTGATCTTGGCCTCCATGCTCAGCGGCAGCAGGGCTTCGATGATGCTGTCCTGCTCGAGCTGTGTCTTCATCGCGGGTGAGCCTGGCAGCTCTGCGCGTGGCGGCTGCAGGGGGAGCTGCAGGGCTGAGTTAGGCTGAGCCCCCGACTTGGACTGCAGCAGGTGGGCGGTGGCGGCCACCTCCACCGAGCCCTTCGGCGGCCGTGGGGGCAGGCTGGGACTGGTGCAGCCCGGGGAGGCCTGCTGCGCACTGATGAGGGGTGGGGGCGTAGAGGTGGCCACCACCGTGCGGGGCGTGACCAGGGGCTTTGGCTTCAGAGGGGGCATGTGCTTGAAGATGGCCTGCAGCGGCGTGGCCGGGGCCTTGGAGAGGGGCGGAAGACTGATCTGAGGCGGGGCGGAGGCCGCCATCCTCAGGATCTGCTGGATGTCCGCCAGCTCGATGGCCGACTCCCCGGAGATGGGCTTGACCACGATGCTGCTGTCCGGCTGGATGATGAAGCCCTTCTGGAAGGGCTGCAGGGAGAGATGCTTCATGCCCTCCTTGGTGGCCGGGAGCAGCGTGAGAGAGCCTCCCAGGGAGGTAGCTTCGAAGGGAGACAGACTCAGCACGCTGGTGCAGCCGGGGTCCTGAGGTAGTGGGCACTTGAGTGTGTGCAGCTGTATTGCTTGGTTGTCGTCCGGCAGGGGCTCCTCGGTGGGTGCGGGCCTGACGTCTTTGGTGTGCTGCAGGCCCAGCAAGGCCAGGAAGACCTTCTGGTCCAGGGCATCACTGGCCAGCACGTCAGCCTGAGGCTCTTCCCGGCCCGGGTCCGTGGTGACATGAGTCTGCTTGTGCAGGGCGAGCGAGGAGAGCATGGGGAATGCCTTGTCACAGCTGTCGCAGACGAAGCGGTGCTGCTCGCTGATGCACCTTCGCAGGTTTGTTTCACACCAGGCCTGTGGGCAGAAGCAACCGAACAAAGTGAAGGTTTCGAACTAAGCATTAAAGGGAAGCATCTGCTGTACAACTGCGCCCCTAACGCAGCCTTTCTCTATTAATACATGAGGACCGCCGTCCTGCCTGCGGCCTCGGGCGAGCCAGTGAGAGAGCAAAGCATCTAAGACCCGCGTCTGCCCCTACAGTGCAGTGGGGTAACATCGTCTTGGAGGGGGCATTTTTCCTTGAGGGCGGCAGCGGTGGGAGAACTGCTGCCCCGGGACTGCAGGGAGGGAGCATCGCTGGGTGGCCCTGCTGGTGACTCACAGGTCTACACAGGGAAAATCCACAAACTTCCACCTCATGTGTTTGTTTCCATTTTGTAAAACTGACAAAATTTCCAAGTACTGTTAGCAGGTTCTTTATTTTATTTTTGGGTACCGGAGATCGAACTCAGGACCTTGCGCTTACGAGGCAGACGGCGGAACCACTGAGCTAAATCCCCGGCTCTGTTAGCAGGTTCTTTATGAGCAGACAACAAATACAGTTCTCGTCTTGTTCTAATCGAAAATGATTCGAATCTTTTCTTTTGGGGAGCGGTAGTGGTGCTGGGGATGGGACACTGGGCTCCCTGCATGTGGATGCCATCACTCTACACTCCCAGCCCCCAAACGCATTCTCTTAACACAAACTGTAATGCTAGAAATATTTACGCAGATGCCAATGAAAGATTGAAACACATGAATTCAAATTAAAAGAGGACTTAGGTGGGGATAGTGAACAATTCACACTCCATATCTCAAGTCCCAAGAATGGGCAAAAGTGCTGATGAGCCAGAGCCACACCAAAGTTCTTAGGAAATCAACCCCAAGGGAAGACTGCCCCCCCAACCTGGCAGCCCAAGGGAGACAGACAGGGCCAAGTGGGGTTTGCACTGGGGATTGAACCCAGGGCCTTCACACTGACCCACATCCCCGGCCCTTCCTCATTTTTTTTCTAATTCTGAGACAGGGTCTCACTAAGTTGCTTATGCTGTGCTCAAACTTGTGACCCTTCGGCCTCAGCCTTCCAGTGTGCTGGGATTACAGGTGTGTGTCACCACATCTGGCTCCAAGTTCAATTTTAAGAGAGGGGGTTATAAAAAAGAGAAAACTCAATCGATCACATTTTAAGGAAAGGGAACTGCAGGGTGAGGGAGTTTAGTCCAGCTGAGTGCCTTGAACCAGTCAGCATACCTGAGAAATGCGAGGAAACCTCCTACAGGAGAAGTCCATGAAGCCTAAGTCATGGAAGCCAGCGGGAATTGAAGGGTTGTTCTGGATGAAAGGTCTTCCCATCGCATCCCTGGGAAGCTGTTTGTGGACAAGGGCGTTGTGACGCAGCAGTCCTCGATGTGTTCGAAAGGTGACACAGCAAATGTCACATCTAGGAGAAGGGAGAGACAAAGATTCAAGGCGGTGGCCCAGTCAGGGTTTCCACTTGTTTGTCTGCTAGGTTTAGTATAGTTTTTGCTGCTTCATTTCAACCAAATGAAAATAAGACATCAGGAAGCCAGTGTGCTCGTAGTTAACGCCAAAAAAACTTCCCTTTAATTTGCTTTGTAAATGATATTCTGCCAACTCTGGACACCAAATCTTTGCAGGCAGAAAGAAATGAACCTAGGACCAAACGTCTGAAGTCTGTGCATGAACCCGGGAGCCACCACTGAGGACCCGCGCTGTGACCAGACATGTGGTCATCTCAGGTTTTTCTCCTTCCCCCAGCTCACTGGATTTAGTCATTGTAAAATGTTTAAAAGGCAATGAAGCAGACACTTCTGCAGCACCTAGAGCGATCACGTCAGCAAGCCTGGCATCTGATACAGGTAAGATAATTAAATGACTCTACCAAACTGGTAGCAAGTACCATGCCTGCGTATTAAATTCTGACATTATCACTATCATTATCTGAAAAACGTCTGCACTTCCCACACCTTAAACCCACAGTAAGCTGAGGCCCTGCCGTGGGCGTCACCAGCCTCATCTCACAGATGAGATGAAAACACGCAGGCCCCGCGATGCTAATCGGTGTGACGAGGTTACCGGGCAGGAGGCAGCTGGGGCCAAGGGCCTGCTCCCGTCCTCGCCCACCACAAGGCTGCGTCCCTTCCTGGCGAGAGTCCCACAGATGACCTCTACTGAGAAACCACAACACTTCAAAAAAGGAAAAAAGTCTCGGCCCTTCTTTAGAGACGGCCTTTGACATCCTAGAATGCTGTTATGAAACAGCCTCCACTCTTCCCAGCAGCGCCAGCACCCAGTCTTCGCTGAGAGCCATTTGAAAGACGGTGCGGTACTCATCAGCATCCCCTAGACCTGCTCTAAATAAGCCACCAGCTCCACAGGCGGCCATTAAAGCTCCTCATCCACATCCACCTGCCGTCCTGGGCTCACACGAGGCAGGGCACTGCAGTGTGTCGCCTGGCCGGCAGGAGCCGTGCACCGAGCACCCTGCCACGTGCACCCTTACTACCACTGCTCCACAGAGAGGTAGAGCAATGCACACCCATCTACATGGATGGGCTTTAATGGAAGCTTTTTTTTGGTTGACATTCTTCTCTGGAAACAAAGAGATAATGAAATCACCCACAAGGCAGCTGAGCGCGCTTCGCTGAGGTGCTGAAAGAGAGAAGTGTCAAGTATGTGCTGCTTTATCAGGCGTGGTGGGGTGCTGCGGGATACAGTCCCTTTGTGTGTCCACCTCTCTTCTCCACTCTGGTAACTGGGGATACCTCCTGTCAACATGCAACTGCGTTTAGAATACCGGCTTCCCACAAGCCACCCAAAATAGCACTCTTTTAGGGGGGAGTTTGCTGAGCTCCCCAGCTGTGGCCAAAGCCCCAGCGAAGGGCTGGATTCAGCAGAAGACCTCAGGGCCTGGAAGTGTGTGAGCCGTGGGCTCAGATGGTGTGGATTGTACCCCCAAGGCAGGTGTGTCCTAGTGGACAGAGTCCAAACCACAGGAACCGTTCCTTTTCTCAGGGCCCGGAGGTCTAAGTCCTAGCAAGGAGACGGGAGTTCAGCTGGGAAGCAGCATGGACACGGCCACCCTGGGCTTTTCTGGCTGGAACACGTCCCAGCCCATGCTGCACACTTGCAGGCGACTGAGCTCAAGTGCCGTCCGCTTCTGAGCACAGGGGTTATGGGGGCTGTACCGAGAAAATGGTGTATCAGAAAGGCTCTGTTCAGGCAGGAGTTACACTGGGGATGGCTGTGAGCTCAATGTCAATGAATCGATAGCACACGAAATAAGGTGACTACACAGAAACACAAAACTGGGCATGGTGACACATGCCTGTAATCCTAGTATTCCTAAAGCCAAGGCAGGAGGACGGTGAGTTCAGCCTGAATGACACGAAAAACCATGTCTCAAAAACGAAACAAAACAAGAAAGCAAGCAAACAAAAAAGAAACATACATACAACAAGCTTAGATACTGAATAACTGATGGAAAAGTGATGAGAGGTACTGAGGAACTGAACCCCACATTTTCCAGGGGAGCAATGACTCAGTGTTTGCTAATTCTGGGTTTACAGTGACTTACAGAACCCAACTAACACGGATAACAAGAATCAACTGGGCAGCTGGGTCCTCCGTATGTACAGGTTGTGCATCTACGGATTCAACCAACCCTGGATTGAAATACCACAGAAGATGCATTTGTACCAAACACGTGCTTTGTTCCTGTATCATGAAGTTCCACAGTAGTAGGTGCTCAATAACACACGGCAAGATTTCCCAGCACTAATCACAAGTTCTGTGTCTCACGGAAGGCTTTGGGAGCAGTGTGTGTGTGTGTGTGTGTTAACAGCCCAGACACACGCAGAAGTTAGCACTGTGACCTTGGACAACTTATATAACACCTCCCAAATATGCTGGAGGGGAGAATGCCCTTGTGACCTTATTCAAAAAGCAGAATCCTCATCCTACCCCAGGCCTGGACCTACCGGTCACTGCAGGGAGCAGGCAGGCCTAGAAACTGGCATAAAGTGAGCATACCCGGTGACTCTATCAGTTATGCAAGCCTGAAAAACAAAGTACTAGAATCTAGAAACATCTTTAGCTATGAGTGCGCGAGAGGCCCTGGAGAAAACGCTGCCCACGACGTTCTCACCTCTGTAACCTGTTCCTTCTCTAAGCCTGTTTCCCTTCTCACCTGGGATGAGGATCTTTGGGGCCAACTCAGATAACAGATAAGAAAATGCTGGGAAACCTCAAGGTACTATTCCGTCATTTAACAATTATTTTATCTTGCCAAGGGAAGAAGAAATCTGGAAAAGCTGATTTCCTGGAACATGTTAGTAAACATGAAAATGCAGGAAAGGTGAGGTTTTGATTTCCAGTGTGTGTTCTCTTTTTCCATTCTAGAACTTCACAGTCGTCCTCAGTACTTCGGTTTAATCTTGAGATGCGTGGGAAGAAACGATGTTTCCTCCCAGCCTGCACACCTGTGGAGCCTTCTGCGTCTGAGGTAAGGTCTAGATCTGCACTTCGCACCTCCATGTTCATGGACTCTCCTCCTGGGCACTGTTACACTCCTCCCCCCAATACAGGGTCTCAGCTATGCTACCCAGGCTGGCCTCAAATGATCCTCCTGCCTCAGCCTCCTGAGCAGCTGGGACTACAGGCACGCACTGCCATACCCAGTGGCTATTTCACTTCTGAAAAAGCCCACTGTGCTTTGAAACCAAAAGCACACTGTGAGGTTGGTTAAAAGGAAGAAATGCACAAAAAAGCACCGGCCTCCTTGTCCCACATGTCATGCCTGTCAACAGACCTTAACTCAGCATGGAAATCCAGTCAGAAACAGGGGCAGACCGGGGCTCAGCCAGGCCTCCCACGGCCTGGGAAGAACACCCGGCAGCCTGGTTTCTAAGAAGCAGTCCAAGGGCAGGAGGGTCAGTCAGTCTGTGGTCCACCCGGAGGGTTTGTCAGGCTTCGTGAGGGCCATCGGAGGGGGGCAGTCCCAGGGCCCTGTTCTCACTCCCATTTCTGAGGGACCCCAACTCCCAGGGACTCATAGAGAGGAGGACTGCAAAATATTTAGATGGGGTAGAACTCTCAATTAGAAGGTCACAGCAGAGGCGAGGGCTGTAGGTCGACTGCATTTTGCAATATGCAGTGTGCCTGAGGAGAATTTTACAACTCTTGACAGGCTGCCTTTCGATTATCTGGCAAGTGAGACGGCCCTACATTGGAAAGTGAGGTAACTGTTCCAAATGGAAACCAACTTTGCTGTCTGCAGGAGACATGCATCTGGGGGACTGTCTCTTACAGGATCTAAAGAAGCTCACAGAACCCTGTTGACACCCCCTTCTAGAAACAAAACTTTCTCTCTTTTTAAGAACTCATACTGAGTAGATTACTCTTGATTTCATCAGTGGAAAAACCTCTGAGGGACAGTTTAGGGCGAGACGCCATGAGGCGCTCAGGGATGGGTACGGACCCACACCTGGCCTGACCTCGGCTTGTAGCAGGCTGTGCAATCCGGTGAGCTCCAAAGCACTGTGCTCACAGAAACAGTTTCTGTACACAAGGGAGTGCACAGATGATTCACCCAGAAAACACCCTAATTCTAGTACACATTAACTGAATTTCTATAGGATAAAATTTGCACTGAGAATCCTGGACAGATGTGGCCACTGCCCGCTCCCATGATGCCCCAGCTCCCAACCTCGGGTCCTGCCCCGGTGAGCTGCTCCCAGGCAGGGGCTCCATCACTAGGCGAGGGCTCCAGCAGTTCTTGGGGGTGGGCAGTGGGGGTCTGTGGTGCCCAGGTATGCAGAGTCAGGGGGCTCTCTGGAACAGCTGCAGCCATCTGCAGCTCACCCCCTCTCTCCCGGCTGCCCTCAGTTCCACTTGAACAGTCACTGAGGGGTCCTGGGTGGGCGTGACACACAGAGGTCTGGGGCTGGAGGGTGTCCGATGCCCAGAAACCCCTCCCGGCGGCATGACAGGTGGGCACAGGTTCGCTGGTGGGGACCAAGATCGCAAAGAGCCTTCCATCCGAGCTTAGCGGTGCCTCTCAGTTTTTGAGACAGACACACAAGTCCCTGCCACGGTAAGGACTGGTTGGATGGGCTGGGGTATAGTGCCGTGGTAGAACGCTTGCTTAACATGGGAGAGGCCTGGGTTCGGTCCTAGGCACGTTTGCACACGCACTAACACGCAGGAAGGGTTCTCCTTTCAGTCACTCCTGTCCTTCCTCCTTCAAAATCAAACAAGCGCCATCCTGCCGCATGCTGGCCGTGACTTCTGCTAGGCTGCCAAGTGCTCGGTGCTGCTTAATAGCAACAAAATCAAAAAAGGAGAGCTAAGGAACACAGCTTAATGCTGGGTTGAGGTGGAAATGCAGTATGATAAACATGCTATCGTGGTGTGGACACT